GAGTGAGCCTTTCCGTGCGCTTAATAAGTATAAGAAATTAAGTTATGCCCTAGGCATGGGACATACAAGTAATTAGTCAATCAGATATTAAAATTGTTCTTAATCTTTTTATCTGAAAAACTAAGAAATGTAGAGAGATCCATTTTTTTTTCTAATTTGTCTTTCATATTCCCCCTAACCCAACTAGTTTTTTTTCCCTCTTTCTTCCCCTTTCCAATTATCCCTCAAAATCTCCCTATTGTATTCATCCCTCAAAATCTGCCTAAGTCAAATTTATCCCTCAAAATCCCGTAAGTCTAATTTACCCCTTAAAATTCCCATAAGCCAAATTTTATCTCTCAAAATCTCGTACGTCAAATTTTATCCCTCCAAATCTCCCTAAGTCAAATTTTATTCCTCAAATTCCCTTTAAGCCAAATACTACCTATTTGCCACTTATCATTATTTCATCATAATTTCTCACATAATCAAGACATCTTTACCCCATCAATGGGCATCCTAAATCTTGATTTATCTCAAGATAATTATTTAATTATGATTTTCTTAAAATTTAAAATTTTCTTTGAAATTGAACAACTGTATCCGTTATGTAATTGATATCATTATGAGATCAAGATTTCTATTATCACAAGGGCAGATACACACACATAAATTATGTAAATTGGTCACAGCAGTTCGTCACTAAGTGACCCAAAACAGAACATGCATTTCAACCACGTTTGGAAGGGCTTTCGTCCACCTAGGGATAGAATTCACCACCTGTTAAATTTAAGTCATACCAATCTTAAACAAGTTGTTTATAAGTTTTTGCTTATTCCAAGTTTTTGTATTATTTTCTTTTTCTTTCTATTCTAATTAAGATTGATATTTTTATTTATTTTATTTCACAATATCACATTCTACTCCTTTTTCACTAACCACAATATTTCTATTTTTAATTAGGTTATTTTATTTGTTAATGCTAATTTGATTCTATTAAGTTCTTGGTGATTTATATTTTGAAATTTTATTTTTAATTTATAATCATTATTGTTTTAATTTTCTTAATTTTTATTTTATTATATATAATTATTTTTAAATTATTTTTAAATTTTTTTAGATTGTTTCATTTAATTTGCATTTTTATTTCCTGTTTATTCTAATTCTGCAACACCTATTACTAATTTAACATCCAAATTTTCTAAAATTTACATTTTTTAACTCAAATTTCTGTTCCTCTCCATTTTTCTTCATTTTTATATTTCTTCCTTTCATCAATTCTAATTCACAATACAAAATAACTAATAAACATGCAATCATACATTTATTTCATGCATATGAATTAAAAACATACATTTAACCAAAAATAGACCAATTTGGGACCTTTTTAACCACTTTAACTAACGCAGCACACATGTAGATTAAAATGGTCATTTATATTTATTTTAAAATCATAAATAATTTGTAGGCAAGAAAATTGTAATATTCAGACCCGAAAAATGATCCGAGATAAATTTTTTATTTTTAATTATTAATTTAAAATAAATGATTAATTTATTTTATTTTTATTTAAGTAAAAGTCTGAGAAAAATAAATTAGGAACGAGATTGAAAATAATTTTGAGAAAAAATTGGTAAAAATTTAAGTTCTGATGGTGTTTTTGAAAGAAAAATTAGAAATATATGGTCAAAGTACAAATAAAGAAAGTTCAACCACGTAAGACTGCCCAGTCAGCAGCCTTAACGAACCGAAGCGCACCGCGTGGCAAGGCACACTGATCTCAGTGCCACGTGGGAGGCCACGCTGGCGATCCATGTGCCTCGCGATCGGACGACCCAGATGGATCTCGCGCGTGTGGATGGCCCAGATTCGTTTTTCTCATAGTCACTATCGGATGGTCGAGATCAATCACGATAAACGGTCCAGATTTGTTTCCTCTTAGGCATGATCAGACAAACAAGATCGATCGCGATGGATGGTTCAGATCAACATGGGATGGGTATAAATACTTCACATCACACAGGAACCCAAACCCTATCCGTCAGCCCCCACCGGAGAAAAATAATTAGACGCCAGAGAAAGAGGTCGACCGCTAACTGGCGCCGCACTAGAGCCACCACACTAGAGCCACCGCCGACAACTAAAAACGGTAAAAATTCTCCCTATCCGCTCGGAATTCGATTTCGAGTACCACTGTAGTCAAATCAGAGCAAGAGAAATGGTGGGTGAGTAAAAAAATGCAAGTAAAGTATGGCGGAGCCGCTGTGACTAAAACCCCAAAATCTCTCTGATAAGCCCTTTCCCGATTCCCATTTCATGTGATTTTTCGATCATTATGTTCACCGTCTTTTTCTATGCAGGATAGTCGAAGAAAGAACATCAGCTGTGAAGGAGGACCAGTGTAACCGCCGCACCCGGAAGTCCCTCCTTCAGTAGGTTAGGTTTTTTTGTTATTTTCTGCCCAACTGAGCCCCCTAATGTGTTTTTTTTGTAGGGATACGGCCAAAACCAGCCAAAATCGGTCAGGCTAAGGCGAACAGTTGCCATGCAAAACTCCAAAATTGTGCCAAAATGAGTTTTGGACACTAATTTTGAATTTTTAGGATATTTTTATATATGTGACGAGTGTTTTGAATTTCATAGAAAAAATTTAAAAAACCCGTTACCATTAAGATGCATAGTAGATAGCTTGACATCTCGAAACACTAATTCAGGTAAGGATCTCTCACTTTATTCTCTGTTACAGTAAATTGAGACTTAATGATGTATAATTTCATATTTTATGGAAAATTAGAAAATCTTAAAAATAATTACAGATTACTAGTGGAGCCAGAACTGGTTAGTTCACAACTGTCTTGATTTTTTATTTATTTTCTATATTGTTTTACTTGCTTCATTGATCCATCATATGATTTAAAATTTATTACTTTTAAATTGTCATTCTCATTTATTGATTGTATGATCGTGATCTTTATCTAATTTATTGATTTAAAATAAAGGCCCCAGTTATGTTTCTTAATTGTTAAGGTATGAAATCGTACTATTTGCTTAAATATTATTTGATTGATTTATGAATATATAATGAGATATTGGTATACACTTATTGGTTATTTGTTGATGGAAATCTGTATGTAAAAGATTTACTGCGTACCCGAAAAAGGGCAGATGGGCCCGGTACATAGGGAACCCCACCGTGAAAGTTATTTCATCCAAATGGGGCTGGGAAGTCCCTTACTAGAAAAGTTTGGGAGATATGGCTCACCCTCATACTAGACGGAGTATCGAGGTGATGAAATATTTGGCACCCATTACCGGATGGGGTATGATAATGACCGTTAATTGTTTAAATTGAATATTAGGTTCACGGAAGGGGGGACACCCCTATGGACCCCCTAAGGTACCAGTAAGTAGGTAAAAAAAGAGAGAAAGCTATTATTTCTCATTCTCTTATGCGTGAAAGTGAAAAGTAATATGGATATGAGTCTTCATAGGTTGTTTTAAAAACTTGTTATAGTAAGTATTAAATAAGTATCTTCAAGTTTAAATGTATTTAAATAAAGTAAGGGCTCCATTAGTTATTTTTCTAATTTTTTTATCAATATTTAGTTTTTCGTGTATTTGATTAGTGTAATATTCTTATCGGGTTAGTGTAACTCACTCTTTTATTAACTATTTCAAATCAAGAGAACTAAGATCTTGATCCCGATCAGTAAGAAAGTTGTGAGTAGTTCACTATCCAAACTCCCTTCAAGTGCTAGTGAAGGTTGTCTTACGATGCTTAGTTATTCACTTTTCGTTTTATTTCTTTAATTTATGTTTGTCTTTTAAAAGAGACATTCTC